ATATGATCCATTAATGACTAACATAGTATCGTGGATTAGTTGAAGTTGGACATTAACACTGTTGGTTACCGGCCGTCTCAGTAGTCTAGTGGTTAAGTGCTCGCGCGCGAAACCAGTAGGTCCTGGGTTCAAATCTTGCAGGGGGCGAGGTCGTGGATGCGCACTGCTGAGGGGTCCCACAATAGGACGAAACAGCCGTCCGGTGCTTCCAGGTTTTCCATGGTGATCTAGCTTCAACTGACTCATGATCTTAACCATTGATAATACATATTATGTTGTAACTAATCAATAATATCACCTAATTTCTATTCTAATAATTACTATCAGGATGAATTATATTCAGTATATTAAATCCATAAACTAATTGCTTTATTAGAATTATTCTTAAATAAATAAGTTACATAAATTTCAATTTAATTGTCGAATAATTAAAAAAGAAAAAAAAACACAAAACAAAGAAAAACATTTGTGACTAATAGAGACCTCAGGCAGTTTGTCAACTTTATATTTCATTCTATATATTTAGTTTCATTATCTATTTGACATCAATATAATAGTGACATGATAAAGAAATGAGAATGACATATATATTTGTATTGTAAACGAGACAGGTAATGTATCACAACATAATGCATGTAATTCTATTGAATGAATACGTTTATAAATAATTTGGCGTAAATCTTCCCATAGAAAAGTATTTTCACGTATATAATACCCTATGTAACTATCATTAGGTATATCCTATAAATAGTATTCATTCATGAATTCATGAATAAATAAAACTGAGATTATTAGAGCATTAATGTCAATTATAAATTGATTTTCTTGTTGTCAGTCAATTTTATTTATTATTTTGTACAAATGAAATTTATTTTATTTTTTTTCGAAAATTTCTGAAACATTGAAAGAGGAGAATTATTACTTACTTAGTTATTTACGCCTGTTACTCCTCATAAAGGAGCATAGGCCTCTCACCAGAATTCTCCATCCAACCCTGTCCAAAGCAATCCTTTCTAGCTCCTTCCAGTTGTTATTCGTCCTTTTCATATCTGCTTCTATTTCCCAACGTAATATGCTCTTTGGCCTTCCTCTTTTCCGCTTCACTTCAGGAATCCCAGTAAGGGCTTGTATCGTGATGCAGTTTTATGATTTGCGTAATATATGTTCTATCCATTTCCATCGTCTTTTCCTAATTTCTTCTTCAGCTGGGAGATGGTTTGTTCTCTCCCAGAGAAGGCTGTTGGTGATGGTATCCGGTCAATGGATGTTGAGTATCTTGCGTACATAACCATTTATAAATACTTGTGCCTTCTTGATGTTGGTTTTTGTAGTTCTCCAAGTTCCAGCTCCATACAGTAGAACTGCCTTGACGTTCGTATTGAAGATTGTGACTTTGATATTGGTTGACAGACAGTTGTTTTCAGTTGCATATGTTCTTCAACTGTAGGAATGCAGCCCTTGCTTTTCCAATCCTCGACTTTACGTCTGCATCTTAACCTCCTTGTTCATCGATGATGCTTCCCAGGTATGTAAAGGATTCTACATCTTCCAGAGTTTCGCTATCAAGAGTGATTTGACTGCTGCTCTCCGTTTTAAATTTGAGGACCTTGGTTTTCCCCTTGTGTTTAATTGACTTTTAGGATTAGATTGAATTTAAAGAGAAAGAATGTATTTGTAAAAAGGAAATATATTTCCTTGAAAAAGCTTGGATCAGACTGTCAGGTGAAATGTTGGATTTACTTCAAATTCTTTCATTGAGATTTTACAAATACATTCTTTCTTTTTAATGTCTCACATCAACTCGGCGCTTAAATACTGTGAAACTATTCGATCAAATTTAGACAAAAGTTCTTATTTATTAGATTGAATTTAGTTTAGTAAATTAAACCAATTTTGGATAGTAATTAATGTGTTTTAATGTAATGTAGTTGACTTAAGTTTATTCATAACAAGATAAGTGTTAAGTCCTGAGCATAGTCGGTTCTTCTTCTTCTTAGGCGTCAATTTTATCAACTACTTCACTGAATGATACATGTTCAGGACCCGATAATTGTAGGGGATATCAATGAGTTTAAATGACTTTATATCTGTTGATCTTATCTATCCAAAATCCCTTGGAATATCATTGGCAAATATTTATTTATTTTGACAATCATGGTGAACGATTTGATCTAGAGATTATAGTCAGTATTGATTACTATAAAGCCTGATTCATGGTGTTTTGTATTTAAGCCTATTTACTATCCTCTGTGTAACGTAGGCGAACATTCATTAATTGAAGTACAAGGTGAAAAAACTAACATGACTTAAATCGTATCATCCACTTGCTTTTTTACACGTTACTTAGTTCAAGTAGGCTTTTTGTGTCGATTATCTTTTGTTATTCATCATCTCATACAATGAACTACAGAATCAAGTTATTAACTTTATTAGTCACATGTCAAAGTTGATTGATAGAATTTAGTTAGAATTTATAAATGGACAATACAACTCATGCAACAATGCAACTGGGGTTTCGGATGTATCGTTTAAGTTTCATACTGATTATATGTTTTTATAATTGTTATGGAACGTCTATTCAACATTTATTGATTTTTATTAGTCTGATTATAAGTTTGCTTTTCGTTCGTGCTGGAAAGTGTATTTAAAAATAATAATGTAATAGACAAGACCTAGAAATGTTATTAATGAAAATTGAATTGCTGTTTAGATTTATGGTGTTGGCTTAAAGGAGAACATTGACGGATGGGAAATTTCATTCAAGTGAAATACAAATGTACATTGAGTAAAATCTATTTAACTGTATTTAATATTATCAGAATTTTTGTTCTAATTTCAAGCTAAACTGATCTCAGTAAGCACTTGTTATATCCCGACGAAAATTATACATGGTAACTTTTAAGAACTATTTATGGACCAATGCGATACATATATTTTTATTATATAATTCTCAAATGACTATACTATGCATATTCATGTTCCTCGTATTATAAGCTTTATTTTGACTCATAGACTATTATTATACGATTTACCGTTTTCGAGTTGTGCCCAGTCTATTAATTACAGTCTCTCACATTCATAGTCACTCTTGGCTTAATCTTGTACAGAGGTTGTTTTCTATTTTGTAGTACGATGTGGTTTGCTTGGTTTGCATATAAACCCAATATGTTTTGAAATACATGATTCATATCGCAGAGGCTGGGATTGGTATTGTGGACTCAACAGAGAGGGCTAGACAGGAAGAAGGATCTATAAGGACTGCGCGTAAGGGTTTATGCATCATTGGTCCGATCGATAAATCACTATTCTTTAATTGGCGGTATCATTATGTTATATATTTATAGGACACAAGGCCACAAGTTATAACAGTGCTATCAATATATCTAAGATTTTTCAGTGAAGGATTCTACTGGGTCTTGAAAATGTTCAAATACTTTTCCAATGCTTGTGTTTTGTAAAATATTTATGGACAGCAAATCTATTACATTCCAGAATATCTTCCCAATAGTATCTGCAAATATCGTATGAAAGCTAATATCAAAGTCTTTTCTTCTTTCAAAAAACTATAATAATGATCTACAGATTAAAATTTTCAAATCTATAAACTCTCGTTGAAGAATAACTAAATAAAGATTGGTAACGACTATTAGTTAAAGGAAAAAGTGAAATCCGCCACTTAAAACGACATTATAATTATTTGTTAATTATTGATCATTACGCAAGCTATCAGAATAATATATAACAGACAGTTTTTAGAGGCTTTTATTATTGTTTTCATAGCTTGTTAATATTCATCAGTGACAGGCAAGCGGAATTTGAAAAAAATTATACCGTTACTTAAAACATTAGAAACACATATATTTTAACCATATTCACATTATCTTCATTAGTCTAATAACTAGGTAATTTATCTAATATATTTGACTACTTATTATATTATCAATGTGATATATATATATATATATATATATATATATATATATAGCATATTCAATCTTGTTTAGTGTACTTAAAGTTGTTTCCCCCGGTACAGATAAGTGATTTTATGTTCTAAAACAGATGTCACTATAGTTTAAGGTATGTTTCTTAAACATTGTTGTTACACTCGAAATTGCAAGAAATTTATCTAAGGTATTAAGATTTGGGTGTTCGCTTTTTGACTTATTTATATTTAGTTTTATTATTCTGACTACAGACAGTAGTAAAGATGATTATTTGAACTATTTGTTTGTGAATATGATATTTCAGTGGGATGATGAACCGATTAATAGTAGACCATCATTGAAAACTTGGAACACTGGACCAAGATTTTCTAGGGCTTCATTCTTTTCGGTTACGTGAAAGTCCTTGATATATTCGAAACATACATGATTTTTTAAAGCTTTAGACAGAAGTAAAATGGTTTCTTGTAAGCTTATTAAAATCAGCATGGTCAGAAATCTTAAAGAATTTTTATTTTGTAAGGAGATTGTGGGCACGTTCTTCCTATCGTTTTATATGTAAGTGTGAATTCGTCTTTTTGTCGCATAAAATTTGAAGCTTGATTCGTCAGCTTTAATTTGGTTTTATAGGAAATAAAGTACTTTGAGCTCAGTATCAATAATAGTTCGAAAATAACTTTTCAAAGACCACTACCATGTTTTGTGAGATTATGAAGTGTATTTGTAGATTTTAGGATGATAATTCTGTTTGACTTACATCCTCTGAGAACGGTGATTTAATCGTCAAGCTTTCATTGACCTTTTAGAGGGTATCATTCATAACGACTTTAGTGTAGCAACTGTGGTCAATTCTTTTTGAACAGGTGTTCAAGTTGTATTTGTTTTACCTAAATGACACAAAATTCTGTAATTTCCATGGTTTTTAAAATTACAGTTTTGTTACAAGCGTCTAGTCTATTGGGTTTAAACAGACTGATTCACGATTAATAAACTTTAGTGTTTATGTGCAATTCGTTTAGTCGAATAACTGTATTGTATGTTTTTAGTAATATTTTATTTGGAATTCTGTACTTACATTTAGGCCACCTGAATCATGGTTTAGTGATATTACTTTGTTAGTGATATGATATTATTAGTGCTATTGGCTGTATGATGATAAGACGATACGTTGACTATGAATTTAAAAGAAATAACTACTTTAAGGGTAGATCTCATTGTTAAATTCAAAGGGCGATCACAAATAAATGATTGTTTCTTGTTTACGACTCTTTAGTGAGAGTAGTATTTATTGAATTAACAGGTTCAGATTTGATAGCGGTACCTTTTACAGATGCTGTCATTTTATGATATGACGAATGGTTAACACTATCCTATCTCAGGGTCTAGAATTTGAAAAGCATCGTTCCTCTTAGTCTACTAATATAGTTGCGAGTTAATCATTATTCCTTTTAATGGCTTGACAGAGATTACGTAAACTGGAAAACAGCTCTCATAAAAGGAATAAATCAATTTGGAGACTAGTCCTGTGTTATCCATTGGTTTCAGTTGTACGCTCTTATCAAGTCTCAGAATCCAAATGATCTAAATGAAATAGGTAATTCCTGATTCACCGTAGATGTAAATTCTTTGTAGTATCGATTTTAAGGTGATGGTTTGATTGTAAGTTGGCCAACTTAAGGTATTCTCTTTGTTTTTAAATAAAATAAAGTTCAGATCTTTTTTGCATCTTACAGATACTGTGAATTGTAATTATTCAAGCGTCATTCAACCCGTCATTTATGGAGGTCATCAGTTAATAGTGAATCAGAATGGAAAAGTGGATTTTATGAAACCAGAAATTATTAGTATCAGTAGTCAATCACAAACCATTCCATCTCATAAAACTCCTGAATTTAAACAATCAGTAGAAGATATTTCAGAAGACAAAAGACAAATAGCACAGAATTACTTTTTTCATAGTGTACAAATTCCAGAAAGTTTAATACAATTTCTTCTTGATCGATTTGTTTCAATAAGTTATACACTTCATGGATTTAGAACAGTAAAACCAAGGCATTTATGCGGTGGTCTACTTATTAGTAATGAATGGGTATTAACTGCAGCTCATTGTATTAGTCCATTTCAAAGGTATTCCAGTTTTTTTTTACTTATATTTTTCTCACTATATAATAGTAGTATTAAAAGTCTTCAAATATCAAAACTACGTCAATACATGGATAAATCATCAATTCATTTTAAACCTAATGACAAAGCAAAATCGATTGATGCATTAATTCTTCATCCAAATTTTACACAAGGTCAAAGTTTATCACCAGATATTGGTTTAATTAAATTAAAGCACTCTATTCTTGATTCACTTACCAATGAAATTTATAATTATGAAGAATTGAAACATTTTTTATTAATAAATGATAAACTACTAATAAGTAGTCAAGAATATATATGCATAGTTTCAGGTGTTGGTCATTTAAAATATCGCGATATAAAGAATACAAATTCTAATAATTGTATAAGTTTATAATTAAGATAAATATATAATTGATTCATTTTATTTAGTATAGATTTTCATGTCGCATTTGTACATCTTGAATCCTGTAATGGATTATGGAAGAAATTACAATTAGAAACAGAAATAAAACAAATCAAAATTTATGAACAACAACAAGAATATGAATGGATAAATATTTGTAAACAAAGTTTGATTGATAATTATATTGGTCAAAAGTGTCCTTTTAGTTATTTATGCGCTGGTGGAAGATATGTAGATGGTGATACATGTCAAGGAGATAGTGGTGGACCACTTTTATGCATTGAATCAAAAAATTATTCGAAATTTACAAAGGTGAGAGGTTTATTTTAAACACGTTTTGAAGTGGATTGTTTTAAATAATTTAGCGACGAAAATGTATTAAGATGTTGTTAATAAGTGACCAATTAATTCAACCAGGACTCAGTAGCTAAATGGATAATGCGATAGCGTTTGAAGTGAACGGTACTGGGTTCAAGTACCCGAGTGAACATCAAGTTTGAGATGCAGGTACATCCAACTGACGAGTCTCAAATAGGACGAAATGCGAGTCAAATTGGAATTCACTGCTAGCCACTATCCATCTTTGCTTAAAAAGCTTGTGATTAAAGACAATATCAAGGCAATCCGCATAGGATGTACATATGCCAATAAGAGACTGATCAATTGCAGTTCTAAATAACAACGAGAAGATACATGTAAACAATACCAAGTGAATTCAAGTTATATGGTTGTCATACAGTTCAATAAAGGCAAACGCTCAAAAGGTGTAGAGATCGGTGAACGAAGCTAAAAGCAGGAGGACATAGAAAATTAATATATTAATAATTCATTAAGCCACAGTTGGATTATACTGATGAGTGATATATCACATATTTATGTGTTTCAAGACTTTGTTCAAATTCAGCTTATTTTGTTCAACATCAGTGATGTGGAAACCAAAATCACTGTTAAACTTTAACATAATACTCATTATAGTTAGGTAATATTTGAGCTTATATTCACTAAAATATAAGCCAATCACGATTTTCAGATATTAACCAAAATCGATGGAAAATTTTACTACTATTACGACTTTTATTATTATTATTATTATTACTATTATTATTATTATTATTACTAACATAATTGGAGATCTTGAATTAAAAATTTAATTGTCTTAAACATATTTATTGCCAAGAAAGAAGAGCAATCTTTTACGCTAATTCTGTTGATTGATACTTTAAAACTTCATGGTTTTGATAAGTTTTATTCCACATTACTTATTGCTACATTTTGAAACATGAAGTGGATAGTCATCTATGTAAATTGTTAAGGTTCTCTCTTAATGTACTGGAACGATAAAGACTTCTGTTAAATCGGATATTTAAGCACTTGAAGTATTAGTATTTCGTGTACAATTTAGAGCTTTTCATGAGACTGTAGAGCAGATCATTTATGCATAGCAAGTTTGAATAGTTAGGATGATGTTATACAAATTATTAGGTTTGTCTTTATCAGAGATCGATCTTAGCTTAAAAATCATCCCAAACTAGTGAGCACTGAACTGAAGTTTCATCTTTATTTAGGACTACTCATCGGTGACGGAATAGGACCATACACCAAATTGAACCTAGAAACTCCATGCTTCATGCCGATTGTATTACTTTTGAACTACAGAGTCGAAGACCATTGTTTGACATTTTGAAATTCGGTCAATTCGCTGCGCAACCCATGGGTAATTCGAACTTGTTGCTGAAATCAATATTACTTTTAGCCAGAATAAAGTTCACTAGTAATGCTAGCTTTTATCATAGAGCATTATTATCTGTAAAGCTATCTGTTAGAATTAGTAGAAAAGACAAATCAATTGTCGACTATCTAACGAAAATGTTAGACTAAAAAAATAACTGTAAGATATGAAATATCAACCAGCATAGCACAATTTTGATTGAGATAATGAATCGAATAATGTTAGACCAACATTGAAAACCTGGCAGCATTGGACGGCTGTTTCGTCTCAGCACGGGACTCCCCATCAGTGCGCGTCAGTGATTCTGCGCGCGGGAATCGAACCCTGGACCTTCGGTTTTGCGTGAGAATGCTTAACATCTAAACCACTGAGCCGGCATTCAACGGTGTTAACATCTAACTTCAATCGATCCATGATCTTGCGCAACTCATTTTTTGAGGTAGATAACTGTCTTACAGCAGACACGGATTTGGCTCCACTAATCAGGGCTTCTCACTAGAATTGTGAAAATATGGCAATCTCTATGATCCTGCACGTAGATACGCACTACTGAGAAGTCCTATACTAGAACGAAACGGCTGTCCAGTTCTTCCAGGTTTTTAGTGATGGTCCAATATTGATGGATTCATGATCTTAATCCAAAGTCAACAATCTCCACATACCTTTAATGACAGTACATTTTACAAATTACTGAATGTTAATGTATTCAGCATACCATAACAACCATGAATTGTTGAATTCATTAGCTTACTAGTAAATACAGTTTGTTTGGCTCAATTTGCGAACAATGAAACCCTTCAATTTTGGTCTCTTAGTTAAATTTACTGAACTGATATCAGGTTATAAAAATTACTACTATTCCATCAATAACATTTATTTTGTGTTCAGTGATTGTTTGTAAGTAATTATCAGAATATTCTAGAGACTGTTCACTAAAAGTTAATCATAACTCTTACAATCTCTTTTTAAAAATATAAGTAGTTTTGAGTAAAGATGGATAGCGGCTAGCAATGGAATCCAGAACGTGAGTTTTTTCGTCCTATTTGGGACTCGTCAGCTGGATGTACCTTCCATTGTTAGCCACTATCCATCTTTGCTTAGAAAAAAGCTTGTGACTTAAGGCTATATCGAGGCAATCTGAACAGGATGCGCATATACCAACATGAGACTGACCAATTCCAGTTCTAAATAACAATGGGAAGTTACAATTAAAACAACACCAAGTAAACATAAACAGTTTTGTTTCATATTCTGATCCTCTTTTATTTTTAACTTTGTTTTATTACAAACGAAATATCCTTTAACTATATATACATAAATATTTAAAGATAGTTTCTTTTAACCTATTTACCATTCGGTAGAAATAAGGTCATTTCCTAAAATAATCATCAATGCTTTTGTTGTTGTTGTTGAGAAAAGCAAAATTATTATTTTCACTTATCCACAAACTGGATATGAGACAACAATGTCTTTTTTCTATTCATTAATTGTATATTATATCCTTTTTGATTGCTTCCTTCTCTTTCTCTCTCTCTCTCTCTCTTCTAACTTTTATGGGAATATGAATAGATTATCTTACCATTCAATATAGCATTGAGTGTGTTCAATAAACTTAAGAGAACCAATTATCAGAAAAGCCTAAGACAAACTCCCTTTATTACTATTATTATTAAGTATGAACTAGTTAACGAAGTTTAACAGCGATTACTGTAATTTGTATTATTGAATTCAAAATAATTCAAGCGATAACTATCATTCGAAATATCTCATTCATGCCTTGAATATGATTATTTATCACATCAATATTTATTTGTATATGTTTAGGTATGCTCATACATATAATTTGACTCTAGGAAATTAAGTAGGCATAAGTAGGAAAAGCATAATGAAAGATTGGATTTCTTAATACATGATTTTAGTATCATTTTTGTATGTATGTCTTTATGTTGAAGTTCTTTTTAATAGGAAGAAGGAATTGTTTTTCAAAGGAAATCTAGGATAAACATACACTACTGATGAGTAACTGATGTCATGTCCATGAGGCTTTAATGAAAGTTGTTTTATGTTTAATTATGGATGTAATACAATTCAAAAAGTACGGTACGGAAAATTATTACAGGTGTAATGAAAATGGCTACTTGTTGACATAATTTATCAAGGAATGCAACAGAAAAATGGATCTTTTAACATTGAAATAACATTAATCACAATAATATAATGAAATTAAGAAAGTAGAAATTGGAAAACGCCAAGAATTTTCAATAGTGACGATCTTCGATGCTGAATATCCTTGTGGCTTATTAACTACTGTTGATTCAAGCTAGTGGTTATGGGAAGAAGTGTAAGGAGCTGGAGTACACATATCTTATCTGATTATTGTCACCAGAAACGTAAAGTAATACCAGTTTGTTTTTAAGTGTTGCATTATTGTGTGAATTGATAGTGTCATTTCCAAATATTCTTTTTAACCCTTAGAAATGGTTCGTTGTTGGTATTGCGTCATCAGGAATTCGGTGTGGTTTGAATGGGATCCCATCAATCTATACACCATTATATCCCTATTTGGATTGGGTTGAATCCATTACAGGCTACGGAAAATCTTTCGAGTAAACTTTGTGTTTATGTTCGGACTACTTTAATCTATTTCAGTAGCTCTACAGTTACGAGAATATTTATGCAGTTTATTTGTTTTACACGAATTAAAATTGGATGAGTTATTTGATACTTGTCTTAGTTTTCTTTCATCGACCGTGGTAAAGTGTTATTTGCCCGTTTAGCTAGTCAAACTTATCTTATGTCAGGACAGATGTAATTAAATGACTGCTGTGACTGATAGTGGATCTGACACCTATGAGAAAAACCATGAATCTTGCGCCTATAGGTTAATTTGTAATGTACATTGGTATAATATTTATTGATGAATAAATTCAAAGATTTATAGTTCTTTGTGGTCAGGCTGTTCGCATATTATAGATGGCTCAGTTAATCTTTCAGTCTGACTTAATTTGTCATATTTCTTGGTATGAGATGATCAGCCTATGACACGCAAAAGTATCAGGATCAAACATTAAATCACTTTATCCTCTGAATCCACCAAATTTACCTCCAGCACTAGTCGAAAATACTGTTTTAGTGGCATATTGATAGTGCAATGCCACGGTTTCTTCAAAAATTTTACCTTCAAAAACCACATCTGACTGACAACAGATTGTTAAGCGGACGCATAATTAGGAGAGCTACTCAATTGAGTTGATAAACTACAAACAATTATTATGCATTTGCAGTTAGGTATTTAGGTTTTCAAGCACTCACGAACATTTTAACTTCCAATGTAGGTTAATCGAAATATATACATACGTTATCTTTGTTGAGAACCACTGATCACCAGATAGACGCTTCTTCTTATTACTCTTAATCTACGACTAACACCTTACTGAACTTAGGACTGTCATTTCTTGTGGCAAGTGCATTACCTTTGGACCGCTGAATAAAAGTCCTTTAGTTCTTAGTTCTAATGCCAATAATTCGTAATTATATCAGCCGAAAATCCGGTAGTCGTTTTAGTTTCTGAGAAATTAACTAAAGAGTAGTCAAATTTAAGTCAGTAGTCTCTATTAATTTCTAAGTTATATGTAATCCACAGTCTGTAGTAGTGGTCTATCTTTATTAATGTGCTACAGTGGACTGATTTCTCATAAAGAACAGATATTAACAATTAAATTACGACTTACGATACTTATAGTAACACACTGTATCAGAAACAAGCTGTGTGGTTTCTCCTTCCTCTTTCATGCATTTTGTCTTCGTGTGTATTTGAGAGTTCATGTATTAATTAGATATTCAAGTAGGTTAATCAGCCGATGGACTTCATTAGACATAAGTTATTTGTATGGATAACGATATTTACGCTAAAGATGATTCTATTTATTTACAAAGGAATATTTTGAAGTGGGAAAGAAATTCTCTAGCTTAAAAAGTGTTTTATGTTGTCGTATTTATGATCCTGAACGATATAATTGTGATTCGTTCATTACCTTTCTAGGAAATAATATCAGTACAAACTTAAATGTAAATGTTTAGAACTGCTGTACGTGTGGTCCTTAGCTCACCCTATCAACTTGGGATACAGATGATGATTGGATTAGAATCTCAGAGGAACAGAGGGCGTTTCTCTCATTATGGATGAAAAGAAGAAATACAGTCCGGGTTATTAACCTTCTTCCTGGTTTCCTCAAACAAATAAAAACAAATAATCTATGCCACGTGTTCATTACTCTGATAAAATGATTGAGACTGAGTGTTTGTATGCACGTGGTCAGAGCTAGTGATTTTCTTAGTAATTTGCTCTACTTGTGAATTTGTAAGTAGTGTACATTTTAACACAAAATTATGACATTTGGATAAAACAGGATAAATCATATAACGTAATTCGAAAATATTTGTAAAATAAAACCTAGTTATGTAGTATCCGATAATGACTAAATGAATAGTAACTGCTAGAGTTAATTTATGGGCCACTATTATGTACATATCATTATTGTATAATTATTATTTAACTAAATTACATGCATATAATTATATACAACCCTTTCATCATGAGCTTCCGATTAACCCATTAAAAACTGTTGTATGATATACTATTCTTAATCTGTTCCAAGTTTATTATTCACAATCTCCCTTACTCACTGCCTCATTTTGACGTGATTATTTGTAATTGTTATTTCTCATTTTAAGGCGTGATGTGATCATGTATATCTGCATATAAACTACTCATGCTTGAAACATGATACTCGTATTGTGCAGGCTGATTACTGTATTCTGAACTTAACAGGCAGGAAAGCGAGGGAAGCTATGGTATTAAAGACCTATAAGAGCTTAGTGTTGAATCAAGTCTATTAGTGCTGAACGGATTCCGAATGGTGTTTTTATCAGGTGATGTTAGTGAGTGGCCATAAGTCATAACAGGTTACTTTAATGATTATCGAATTTATAGTTGACTGGAGCAAAGACTATCATTTATAAAAGGATAAAAGGATCTAAAGGTGTAATACGTTATCAGCTACGATTCTAAATGATGAAAGTGGCGACATTTTGCTATTGTTTGTATTCTGGTACTTACTTACTTACTTACTCCTGTTACTCCTCGTGAAGGAGCATAGGCCGCTCACCAGCGTTCTCCATCCAACCCTGTCCAAAGCAATCCTTTCTAGCTCCGTCCAGTTGTAATTCATCGTTTTCATATCTGCTTCTATTATCCGACGCAATGTGTTCTTTGGCCTTCCTCTTTTTCGCTTCCCCTCAGGATTCCAAGTTAGGGCTTGCCTCGTGATGCAGTTTGACGATTTGCGTAATATATGTCCTATCCATTTCCATCGTCTTTTCCTAATTTCCTCTCCAGCTGGAAGTTGCTTTGTTCTCTCCCACAGAAGGCTGTTGATGATGGTATCCGGCCAATGGATGTTGAGTATCTTGCGAAGGCAGCTATTTATAAATACTTGTACTTTCTTGATTGTGGTTGTTGTAGTTCTCCAAGTTTCAGCTCCATACAGTAGAACTGCCTTGACGTTCGTATTGAAGATTCTCACTTTGATATTGGTTGAAAGTTGTTTTGAGTTCCATATGTTCTTCAATTGTAGGAATGCGACCCTTGCTTTACCGATCCTCGCCTTTACGTCTGCACCTGAGCCTCCTTGTTCATCGATGATGCTTCCCAGATATGTGAAGGATTCTACATCTTCCAGAGTTTCGCCATCAAGAGTGATTGGATTGCTGTTCTCCGCTTTGAATTTGAGGACCTTAGTTTTCCCTTTGTGTATGCTGAGGCCTACTGATGCAGAGACTGCTGCTACACTGGCTGTCTCCATCTGCATCTGTTCGTGTGTACGTGATAGGAGGGCTAGGTCATCTGCGAAGTCCAAATCGTCTAATTGATTCTGAGCTGTCCATTGTATTCCATGTTTTCCTTCAGATGTTGAGGTCTTCATAATCCAGTCGACCACCAGGAGAAAAAGGAAGGGAGAGAGTAAACAGCCTTGTCTGAATCCGGTCCTTACTTGGAATGCATCTGTCAGCTGTCCTCCATGCACTACTTTGCACTGTAGTCCGTCGTATGAGTTCCGGATTATATTGACAATCTTCTCAGGAACTCCATAGTGTCGAAGAAGTTTCCATAACGTCCTCCTGTCTACACTGTCGAATGCCTTTTCATAATCAATGAAGTTGATGTATAATGATGAGTTCCACTCAACTGATTGTTCGACGATGATCCGTAGTGTTGCAATTTGGTCTGTGCACGACCGATCCTTACGGAATCCAGCTTGTTGATCTCGAAGTTGGGCGTCTACTGCATCCTTCATCCGGTTCAGCAACACTCTGTTGAAGACTTTCCCTGGTATTGACAGTAGTGTTATGCCTCTGTAGTTTTCACATTTGCTCAGATCTCCTTTCTTTGGAATCTTGACGAGGTGTCCTTCTTTCCAGTCCATCGGCACTTGTTCCTCCTCCCAAATCTTTTTGAATAGAAGATAAAGCATGCTTGTGGTTGTTTCGATGTCTGATTTCAGTGCTTCAGCTGGTATGTTGTCGGGTCCTGCTGCTTTCCCATTCTTGATTTGTCTGACGGCCATTCTAATTTCTTCCGTAGTTGGTGGATTGACATCTATAGGAAGATCTATGTGTGCTGCTTCGATGTCCGGTGGATTCATTGGAGCCGGCCTATTCAGGAGTTCCTCGAAGTATTCTACCCATCTGTTACGTTGTTGTTGAATTTCGGTGATTGGCTTGCCTTCTTTGTCTTTGACCGGCCTCTCTGGTTTACTGTATTTCCCTGATAGTTTCTTCGTTGTATCGTAAAGCTGTTTCATGTTTCCTTCTCTAGCAGCTTTTTCTGCCGTCGTTGCTAGTTCTTCAACGTATTTCTTCTTGTCGGCTCTAATGCTCCTCTTCACTTGTTTGTTTGCTTCTATGTATTCAGCTTGTGCTTGGACTTTCTCTGCTCGTGTTCGGCTGTTGTTTATTGCTGCCTTCTTGTTCTTCCTTTCTTTGATCTTGTCCACTGTTTCTGTAGAGATCCATTCCTTATGATGGTATTTCTTTAGACCGAGAACCTCTTGACACGTTGAAGTTAATGCTTCCTTGATGCCTTTCCAGTTGTCCTCCATAGTAGTTTCTTCTTCCTTCAGTAGATCTCGTAAGGCTTGAAACCTGTTGTTGAGAGCTATCTTGAATTCATTGAGTTTGACAGTATCTCGAAGGAAGGCTGTATTGAACCTTTGTATTGCTGTTTGTCCACTTGTCCAGTTCTTTTTTAGCTTCAGTTTCAAATTGGCTACAACTAGGTGGTGATCTGAAGCTACGTCAGCACCTCTCTTGGTTCTCACATCTTCCATTGTCCTTCGGAATTTTTTGTTGATGCAAATATGATCTATTTGGTTCTCTGTAGTGTGGTCCGGTGAGATCCATGTAGCCTTGTGTATACGCTTGTGTGGAAATATCGTGCCTCCTATGACCAATTTGTTGAATGCGCATAGATTTGCAAATCTTTCTCCATTTTCGTTTCTTTCTCCCAGTCCATGTCGTCCCATAATATCTTCATATCCAGTGTTGTCTAT